AGAGAGAGAGAGAGAGAGAGAGAGAACAAGTATGGTATAAATTATTGCCTTATTGTTATATGTATGACTAGGGTTGCCAACTGGTCAAGGTTTGCCTTGATTTTCAAGGCGAGAGGGTTCTGGTCAAGGCGAAAGGCAAGGGTCTCACCTTGACATAGACAAGTCAAGGTGAGAGCAAATGTAATTACCTTATGTCTATTCTTGGTATTTATTGAAATGAACACACTAATTAAAACCCAGAATAATATTTATTGCCTATTTGTAAAATAGCAAAACAAATCCTTTATTAAAAACCCTTCATAAGAAAGACTTTTATCTTCAAAAGCCCATATCTTATATGGAAAATACACTGTATTGTAATAAAACTAAATTAAATTAAAGCTTAAATTAACATTTTGCTCATATTTCAAAAATTTTTATAATCAAATATGCAATAATAATGGTGGTCAAGGTTTGGTCAAGGTGAATTTAGAAAAATTTTGTATTTTTCAAGGCGGTAGTCAATCAGAGTTGGCAACACTATGTATGACATCTCTTATGTAGTAAAAGTTGATAATTAGTTAAACATACAAATTATTACATAGTAGACAGAGTAAAATATTATCAAGTAAAATATAAAGATAATAATATCGTATATTTATAGTTACATAAAGTAATAAAACCATTACACAGTACTGTATATGAATCATTTTCAAAATATAATAAATCAAGGTGTATTCTTACCATTGCCCATAAAAATTTTATCGAAATCAAAAATGGCGAATACAATGAAGAGTATAATAGATGCCAACAAATGGTTAATGATATCAAAGAGATAACTCGCCGCCCAAAACGTGTGAACAGATATGCCATTCATTAACTGTAATAGTTTTGATTGAGTGATGCGCTCATGGATTGGGAACAACGCATACGAGGCGCCGATAAATGGCACCGTTAGGGGCACTAACAGTAGGCACGTGACCAGCATGGTCATTTGTACCATAAACATGGTATTTGAACTTTGATCATATAATATCGGGTGGTTGTATAGTGTGATCGATGGTTTTTTATCATTGAATTTTTGCTTCAATAGTGTTTCGTATAGGAAATTGATGGACACCGGGAGTGAGTGTATGGCCTCCTGATTATACCAGGGCTTTAATATTAGCGTTGGTTCGCCGGTATTCGTGGTGTCGTCGGTCGTGTCGTTGATCTGAGCGCCGACTAAATAAGTGTTGATATATTTATCAATATCGTCGCCCCGATTGCCAGATAGGGTCCAATTGTTTGGGTTTTCTGAGTATTTGTAACAAAGTTTATAATTTTTATCAATACTTAAATTTAAAATTAATCTTAAATTATTTATAATCTATAATAAATAATTAATGTTGTCATTTTATCATTAATCTAACTCAATACTGTTACAATATTACAATGTTTTCAGTGATGCGTATTAGCTACTGTATTAATATTATGGTATTAATTTAATAAAATAATTAATTTACTATAACTTTATAAATACAAAAATGATTTATAATCACAATTAAGGTATAAACTAAATACAAACCTATAATCTCTGTTGTGGTCATGTCCTGTGTTTTGGACACTTCAATGTATGTATCGGTAAACTGTTTGAAGGCAGCACTCGATGATTGCATGAAACCCTGTGTCGGGCCATACATTTTCAAACTCAACTCCAGGTTATTGGTTGCCGACTGGTTAGTAGTGGTCTTCTTCAACGACTGATCCAACAATAAGATACACATGAATAGTATGGCCGGAAGTATCGTCTGGAGAATAATCATTGGCCAATACCTCTTCGCGTAGTGAAAGCGTTTCAGGAAAAGTGCCCAAAACTGTTGCGCCCGAAGTTTACTACCAGTATTTCGACAGATATTATGTGACAATAGGTCCGCGTCTTGAAGTGAATTAGTGGACGCTTTGCTTATCTCTTCGACCGAAGAGGTGTCCATATATTCGTTGCCCACTCGGAGGAAGACGTCCTCCATTGTGGTCACAGTCAGACCGTAGGTCTCGATGTTTAACTCGTGTTTACGCGACTCTAAGTGAGTGAAGAGTTGGATCAGTTGGCCATTGGTTTGGCTTTGAGTATCAATCCTCTCGCGTTCGTCGCTGTCTTCCAACGAGTATATGATCTCCGAATTGATCTCACTTTTGATGTCCGCGTTTGGCATTGTTTTGCGTATAATATTGAGCACCGATTGGCTGTTAAACTCCCGGTTCTTAGCGATCCGGAGGTGATATCCGGCGCCAAATGCTTTTTTCAAAAACATAGGGCTACCACAGCATTTCACTTCGCCTTCACTCATAATAGCGATCCTATCGGCCAAAGCCTGAGCACATGGAAAGGAAACAATAGGTTATTATCAAAATTATCTACAGTATATGGTAAAACTGTTTGCAACTCACATCCGCCTCTTCCATGTAATGAGTGGTCAATAATATAGTTCTTTCGGATCTGATATTCTCATTCTGTAGGGTGTATACAGAAGCGCGGAGGCCTAGGTATGGTCTCCAGCCGAGTAGGTCATAATGGATCTCAGTGTTGCCTATCATTGCTATACCGAGTGATAGCTTGCGTTTCATACCTCCGGATAGATCTGTAGACATAGTGTTTGCCTTATCTGTTAAGTCAACTAAAGCTGTAATTTTTTGCACTTCATTATTGACATCAGCCCAGGGATAGCCTTTCAGTATAGCGTATAGTTTTAAATGTTGGCTTACATCTAACTCACTGTATAAAATGTTTTCCTACAGAAATAACATTGTATAATTATATTAAATTGTTATTACATTTAATAAATAACATGCAATGTATGCAAAACACATACCTGTGGGCACAGTCCAAGACTTTTGCGAGCACTACGAGTCTGTTGTCTGATATCATAGCCACTGATATATGCAGTGCCCGAAGTGGGCGGGAATATACCGGTAATCATATTCATTGTAGTGGTCTTTCCGGCGCCGTTATGGCCCAACAGTACAGTTATTTGTCCGCCATATATGTTGAGAGACATATCGCCGACAGCCGTCTTATTGCCAAACATTTTATGCAATTTCTCACACTTTATGCCAACCCTTGTGTTCAACGGCTCTCTTTCAAAGTGTTTTGCATTTTTATTTTCATCATTTTTTGATGAATAAATTTCTTGATTTTTGCCCTGTTTTGGGAACCAATACGAGGGTAAAAACGGATAATACACGGGCTTAGGTATGCCAAACTGCCATGGCCATACATTGTCCACATACCATATGAGCAAGCCTATTTATAAATCACAATAAATTATATTATTTATATAAATACAAATTTCTTGATATTTGTTTACACATACCGTAGAAAAGTATAGACATTAACTGCAGTAATAGTATTAAACCACCGCTAAAATGACCTAATGTGGGCGCATCTGACCATATATTATCCCAGGTCAATCCCTGACCTTTTAACTCCCATTGACCCAAAGCTGAGAAATACCATTGCATGCCTGAGTTGGGCAAAAAACAGGTGAGTATACGCCAACCGGTGGTGCCCTCGACATCCATATTTGGGTTATACATTGTGCTCAACACTCCCATTGGCACCGCATGCGAGATCTCAAACAGCACAACACTGACCACTACACCGATCACCGGGCGATTAAACACTGTTGTCAATAGCATACAACTCAATATGGTGGTTATGTTAAATAGCACCAGGGCGATTAACAACATAAATGGGTTGCTATAAACAACAAACGGTAGGCCACCGAAACCGACGCAAAAGCATATGATGAAAAAACATGATTGTATAAACATTATGGTGAAATAGTTGATGAAATGCGAGCCCCAAAACACCCAATCACTCAAACCCATCATTTTGAGCATTTCCTTAGCTTTGGCCGCCTTTTCATCGCAAATACGTTTCACAATCAATGGACACATTATTATATAACTTGTGATGACTACCATTCCCAGCATTTCTAACCAATTCATTCCGCCTATAGGTTTGTAATGGTAATAAAATATAAGGAAAAATTTAATAATTAATAATACAAATTAATAATTAAATAAATAAATTAGATATATTATTTTATCACAAAAATCACCAACCTCCAAGGGAAGAGACTGTTTTTAAATATGGAGGATACGGTATACGATGGATATGAATACCGGTCACACCGGTAGTTGACTGCTCGTCATCGTCGGCCCTATTAGCCAGATAGTCGGCGTACAGCTCATACACGGCCACCTGAACCTGGCTGAATTCACGTTCGTATTCTTTGCCATTACTATATTGCGACGGGCCATTATCGGTCTCTGGGTGTTTCCGATTGACCAGGTCAATCATGCCAGAGTAGCCGGTGGGCCTGATTTTGAGTTTTAACGCATTATGATCGCTACCGGTGTCCATAAACACCAGTCCTATACCCCAACTACTGGAGCTCACGTACAAATGGTGCTCGAGCTCGGCCTCTGTAGCGAAACTGCCAAACTTGTCGATCGTAGCCCGATCGCGCTCTTCCGTTACGTTGTAACGGTAAACGAACTTGCTCATTATTTTGTTGGCCACCTCGCTGGTATTGGGCGAATAGTATACGCTAAGTGTTCGGTATTTGCTGTGAAACAAATTGCTCATGTTGTACGGCTCAGACGGCTCGTAGTAAGTGGGCTTTTGCCACCCGGTGCCACCACCACCGGACCCGCTCGAGCTGTTTTTGTCCAGCGAGTTGCTATTGACGTAATTGCCGGCAATCGCGGCGCCCAGTATTATAGGCAGTAACAGCTCAAATAGGCCGGAGATCCAGTGTTTGCGCCGAACGATCCAACTTTTCCATAATAATGCGCCAAGCTGCTTTATCACAAGTGGTGCCATGGTCGATTTTGACAAGGTTAATTAGTGGTGGATGTTTGCAATTAATGTTGTGTTTTATTATACAATAATTGTTGGTAAATAAAACATTTAATTTAAAATTAATTATTGTAAAATAATTATTTTTAATGTTAAAATATTGACATATGCTGAGAAAAATGATATTACACCACTTGAATATAACCTTGTTATTCACACACAGTCTCATGAGTGATGTGATTGTGATAGTTGGTATTTAATAATTTATTAATACAAGTATAGCCTTAAATACCCGGTGCTTCAGTGCTTTAGATCGCAGTTGTTATCATCGCAGGTATGGTTACAATGAATCACTAGTTTTATTAGTACTGATATTATTAAAACATATTAAATAGAAAATGTTTCAAAACCCGAGTGAAGTGATTCATTTAGCTATAGATTGAAAGTGTATTAATTATTTATTGAGCGTGATAACAAACTCTATGTGGTATTGCATTTACCTTATGTAATATTAAGGTGTTTTAAATGTTTAAATAACGCTTATGTTTAAATAGTATTATTTGAGTAATTAAATTATTACACATAAAATATTTATTAATATTATAAAATTTAATCATAGCACTTAAACGCAGTCAATGACAAGTGACCACGATAATTTTTTGGTTAACTATTAACTTTCATTATGATTGCAAAATATAGAATATTATAAGAATTTTAAATACATAAATTTTAGAATCTAGATACTTTTATGTACAAAAAATATATTATTTTTGTGTAATTAAATTATTGCACATTTATCTAAATTGTAATATTATACAAAATCACTCTGGTCAAAGCATAGCAGTCTTCTATTTAATATTGAACATATACAGTATCTAGATCTATTAAAAAATTATAAATAAAACTAGTTTATCTAGCCAGGTATAATTATCAGAGTCCGGATTTTGACGGGAGATAGTGTTATGCATCACCCTCATATTTTCAAGAAAATATAACATACATTTACTAGAATTAAAACATACACATAAAACCGGTTTTGAGCAAACAGTATTTTAATGCAAAACACTAGGATTAACTTTAGGTCACATTATATATATCATATGTTAAGATTGGACAAGTCTTGATCAATTTTTAAAAATTAAATATAGTGTTTATTTTAATTAAAGTGTAAATCACTTGCTTTTATATAAAAAGATATTCTTATCTTAACATCTAATATAACTGATGTGACCTAGAGTTAATCCTAGTGTTTTGCATTAAATGTGTATGTTTTAATTCTAGTAAATGTATGTTATATTTTCTTGAAAATATGAGGGTGATGCATAACACTATCTCCCGTCAAAATCCGGACTCTGATAATTATACAAAATACAGAATTTATATAAATACACTGCATTTAAGTACAGTGCGTTCATATTTACAACTCAAATGTGCAACATTATTTAATAAACAGAATTACTTTAATAGTTATGTATGAATCATGAAACCTTATCAAATGTCACTTTATGGCTAGATTATGTTTTTAATTATTAAATGGTATGTACCAAGCTTTTTCAAGATCACTAGCTTGAACTTCAAACAAATTAATTATATGGATTAACTTATCTCAAGTGCAATTAATGGGGAGTAAATAATATGGGAATTAATAAATAACATTGTTATCATACATTGTTTAGAGCAGATCTTACTTTCATTCGCTTGAAAACAGCGATAATTACTGTTAATAAATCGTTTTAATACTAAATTTATTTAGTTATTATAACATTAACTCAAGCGAACACAACATTAATCAGAATAATCAATAACATTAAATTACTATTTAATAATTTCAACTATATTTTTGTCATTTTAAAAACAAATTTATTAAATTAAAAGTTAATTATACAATATAATAATACATAGTATGAAAACAATAATACAAATAGGTGATAATTGAAAAAAATGTGATTAAATGTGTTTATTCTTGACGTGTTTTTTCAAATCATTTGATGCAACAAACCGTTGATTACAGTTATTATGAATACATTTATGGCTTTTTATATTCAAATGTCTTTTCATATGTTCATCAAAATTACTTTTATAGGAAAAAGTTTTGTTGCAATTAATAAAATGACAAATAAATGGTTTGTCTTCCAAATGCATGCGCTTGTGTTGAATTAGATGTGATTTTCTTTTAAATTCTTTACCGCAATTTTCATCATTACATTTGAATAGTTTTTCATTCAAATGAACGCAACTTTTGTGTTGAAATAAATGTTATTTTGTTGTAAAACATTTGTGACATTCATTGAAATCACAAATAAATCTAATATTTAAGTGAATAATATTTTTGTGACGTTTTAAATCAGATATTGCTCTATAAATTTTATTACAATTATTAAGATCACATTTATATGGTTTTATATCTGAATGTATGAATTCATGTCGAGTAAAATGATGTTTATTTTGTGTCTTGTATTGACATTTAGGCCAAAAACAGTGAAAATAATCATCAGATTTAGTAATGATATGACAATTGTTTGGCATTTTATAACTGATTTTACATGAATTGCAATCAATTGTTTGATTGATTAAAAAATAATCATTATTTTCGCATTCAATCGCTTCACACAAAACACTATTATTTGTATTCAAAATACACTGAATTTTGTCTATTATTTCACACAAACTCTTCATTGC